GGGTATAGTATAGGACCACTAATCTCTAATGTTTGGTGTGGTACTGGTATCAGCCCAAGTCAGTAGACTTTACAGAACAAGGAGAGACTGTCGATTAATTTGGTAAACCAGTTAACTAAACGATAATTGCTAAAGAAGCTAATGCCAGAGCCATTCTCATTTGTCATATGTGATTTCTGATTTCAAGCCATAAGCTGATTTGAAGAAAAATATAATGATTCAACTTTCAAGATTGATACTCTAAATAATAATCTCACCCATGCCCCAAAATCTGTGAATTTATTTATAATATTTCTATTTTGCAACTCAAAGTAGATCAAATTATTATCGTTAATGTCTAAATACAATAGTTTAGATTCTGCATGTTACTATTAATGTAATGTCTTTCTAGAATTTGTTTTTCCCCTTATGTGTTTTTAAACTGTGTTTTGCAGTAGAAATAATCACCACATGCTTTAAACAAAATGTTATCAGAACTGTAATATACAAAACAGATAAAGCTACAGCAGCTTTCAAAGTAATGGCCCCCTACCCCCAGGTATAATCCCTAAGAGCCCCTCTACCCCCAGGAATAATCCATGATGTCTTTCTGCAAAACTCAGGCTTTTAGGTGCAAAGGTTGAAAAGTATTCCTTTAAACTATAATCAAAAAATGAATATTAAAACAAAAAAGTTATGAAACCTATTAAAAGGCTGTTACTCAGCTAATTAGAATATTTAGTTAGCAAAAATGATTTCTGATACTTACTAGTTGCTATAAGTCTGAAATGCCATCAAACTTACTCATTAAAAGCAACAATGACAAAATTAAAACATTTACTAAACTGGATAATGCATTAAATTTTAGTTATTTTTCACTGTATTTAATTTTTAAGTTGTAAAGTAGAAAGTACTCAATTACATGTAAGTCTGAATGAAGAGAGAAAAAAATGCTTCATTAAAGAGATTTAAAAAAGGAAGTAAGGCTGATGAATGATGTAACATTCATCATAAATGTAAGGCTGAACAAATGGTGTAAATATCTATGTCTTATTTATAGGAACTTATAAACTATCAAAGCAGAAAGATCTGCTATTATTAAGATTTATTTAGCTTTCCAAATCAGCTTGGTTAGAGGTCTGGCATCATGGAGTTAGAGAGCAAACATGTGTCCAACCCAATAAATTGTTCTGTTTTGTCATACACTCTAAACTTAAAGGAAAAGGAGAAGACCAGAAACAACCAAGGTGGATCATATTACTTTCTGGATCACTGCTATCATCCTACTAATGAAGAAGACAACAGGCAAAGACTTGAATAAAGTAGATTCCCACAAACTATGTTCTGGATACAAATAGAAGTAAAAAGTTGCTGAAACAGTAACTCTGCTAACCTGACACTTCTCTACAATAGTTTCAAAGCATACATGACAGAAAAGTATTTTAAAAACCCTGGAGAATGGTTTTAAAAAGAACCTAGGTATTTCTACATGTACTAATCAAGAGAGAAATATTCTGTGAAAAGCAGAAACCTTCATTTCATGATAGGTTAAAAACTGGACAATAAGGAATTTGCTAAAAAAAAAAAAAATGTATGCAGATAGAGACTTTGGAGTTGCTATCTACAAAACCATAAGCATTTGTATATAGGGTATGTAGGTAGGGGATAAAGTGCTTAAATTATTCAGGTTAAATTCTGGCTGAACAACTCCTTTGGGCACATTGTTAGAGGTAACAGTGTCAGTCTGTAAGACTAGAGAGGAAGAGAGCTTAAGCTTTACCTCCTATCTATCACATACACAAAAAAAGTACTCTGCATTTCAGATCCCTGGCTACTAGAAATTGAGGTAAAAGAACTTTTTTGACTGTTATCTTCTACTCACCACACATTTTGCTACCGTAATAATTATCCCTTTCTACCTGAGTAATGAACAACAGTTTAAAGTGATTCTGGCTGGGCAAGGTGGCTCACACCTGTAATCCCAACACCAGAAGGCTGAGAAGGGAGGGTCTCATGAGCTCAGGAGTTCCAGACCAGCCTGAGCAAGAGCAAGACCCTGTCTCTAATAAAAACAGAAAAATTTAGCCAGGGGTCCTTGTGGGTGCCTGTAGTCCCATCTACTTGGGAGGCTGAGGCAGGAGGACTGCTTGAGCCTAAGAGTTTGAAGTTACTGTGAGCTAGGCTGAGACCATGGCATGCTAGCCTGGGCAACAGAGCGAGACTGTCTGAAAAAAGTAAAAGTGCTTTATGTACTTGTTTAATATTTATTCCTCCTCTCTCCATTAAAGTATGAACTTCATAAGAACAGAAAACTTGTCCTTACAACAGTGGCTGGCAAACTGAAGAGGTCTAGTGCATGTTGAATGAATGAATGAATGAACGAACAAATCAACTCCTATAGCATTTTGGTCCCCCCTTTTCATGGTCCTTATTCATGAATGTATTGATTTTTGTGAGTACTGCAGAAGTTTACGTGGGCATTTCTGGTGAAAATAATTTGATAATGTGGAGGTTCTTCCAAAGAAGCAGGAGTTGAGATAGCTACTGTAGCTAAAGCTACTATGAAACAAAGCACTGTAGGCATTTAACTCTCCTAAGGACATTTAAAACAGACTCTAAAGCAGTGAGTGCTCCATAGATCAGAAAATTATTTGCAAAATTACCATGAACTACCCACTTCCCCTCAAAAGATTTTTGTTAAATAGACTGCCTCATTGGGGAAGAACAGATGGAGATGGAGGTTTCAAGCAAAGAGTAATTTTGATAAGAATATGTGCATAGACAGTGTGCGTATTGTGAATAAAAAATTAAGATTTAATAAACGTTGCAACATATTCCAGTATTTAACCATTTAAAGATAGATTATACATAAAATAAATTTAAATCACACTATAGCACTCATCTAACCACAAGTAATGATGTTTAAAAATCTGAATTAGTAAAGCATGAGAATCAAATCAGTAATCCTAAATCTCTAAGGCATTCTAAAATATTATGTTCAGGAATATGACATGACAAAACTTATTTTTTTAAATTTAATTAAATAAGAAAAAAGAATAGCACAGATCAAAGAATATTCACAAAGAAGTAAATATCCATGAAAGAAATATTATTAACAAAACTACACCCTCAAGTATAAAAAAAAAGTGTATCACTGGTATTTAACTAAGCAGGCAAATATTTATTCAGAAATAGCTGAGTAGTGCTGTCTGTAAAATACATCTTTTTATGAAGTTAATACCTGATTCTCTGGCTGTATGTTAGGTCAGAGTATAGGAATGAGATAGCTGCTGCAACTGGATAGCATCCAGGGTAACATGATGAAAAGTTTATCAATTGTAGGGAGAGGACTGGAGGATATCTTTGTGTAAAACAAAATAGTACTTCACTTTGAAATTACAGATATACTTTCTATTCATGAAAAAATGATCTGCTGCAGCTCCTGCCGAAAGTACCCAAGAGCTCAGGATGTCTCTCTTGAAGGATAACTTACAGACCCCATCTCTTCACATTTGCCTCCTTCATAAACCCTCCCCAACAGGGATGCTTCAGGGATGTTATCATCAAGCCACCAGGATTTCAATAATAACAATACGGCTCAGCGCCTATAGCTCAACCGGCTAAGGCGCCAGCCACGTACACCTAAGGTGGTGGGTTCGAATCCCCAGCCCGGACCCGCCAAACAACGACAGCTGCAACCAAAAAAAATAGCCGGGCGTAGTGGCAGGCGCCTGTGGTCCCAGCTACTTGGGAGGCGGAGGCAGGAGACTCGCTTGAGCCCAGGAGTTGGAGGTTGCTGTGAGCTGTAATGCCATGGCACTCTACCCAGGGGGATAGCTTGAGGCTCAGTTTCAAAAAAAAAAAAAAAATAACAATACAACAGAAATACCAACAACAAAAGTAGCATCTGTTTACTATATGCCAATCACTGCTGTAAATCTTTACATGCAAGAACTAATTTAATTCCTTTAATAACTCTCCCAGTGGTTCTCAACCTTTGTAATGCTGCAACCTTTAATACAGTTCCTCATGGTGTGGTGACCCCCAACCATAAAATTATTTTCATTGCTACTTTAGCTTTATACAACAGACACTGATTATATTAAAATCTCGATTAATATCACTTCTCAGCCTTTTGGCTACAATCGAGTGTGTGGTAAAATCTGTTTGACAGACACATTGTACTTAAACATTTTTTGCTGGGCGCAGCGGCTCACACCTGTAATCCCAGTACTCTCAGAGGCCAAGGCAGATGGATCACCTGAGCTCAGGAATTTGAGATCAGCCTGAGCAAAAAGTGAGACCCTATCTTTACCAAAATAGCTGGGCACTATGCAGGCACCTATAGTCCCAGTTACTTGGGGAGCTGAGGTAAGAAGATCACTTGAGCCCAAGAGTTTGAGGTTGCTATGAGCTGTGATGCCACAGCACTCTACCCAGAGTGACAGAGTGAGACTCTGTCTCAAAAATAAATAAATGAATAAATAATAAATATCTTTACCTGTATAGAATACTAATAGAATAAACTCTATCTATAGTATGACAGAAAAAATGATAATCCTGAAAATAGATGCAAAATTATAACAAAAGAAAATGATAAAGGATTAGAATTTGGTGGAGGAAGAGGAAGGTGCATGGAGAAGTAGAAAGAGGAGACTCCCTGAGAAGGTGAAAGAGACTGTGGAACGGAGAAGGGGCAAGAAAGGTTACAGGCAGAGTGACCTGAGCATCATGCATTACCACAAAGCTGGTTTTTAACTTCATGGTATGAAACGGTTTATTATCAGGATAAACATGCAAGTCTTCCCCAAAACTGCTTTCACTGCTTCGAGAAGACATGAGGATGGGCTAACATCAATGAAAAGTATTTTTAATAATCTTCCAACTTTTCTTCTAATGACCTTATTAAGAGAAATAAATATTTTTTTTGTCTTTTCACCTACATCACCTACATCAAACAATACTGAGGAATCTCAACTTTTATAAACACTCTAAAAGCATTTGAAAATAATTTTACTTACTCTCCATCCACTTCTGGTCTTTTACATACACAGTGAAACTTGCCACCAAAATCTATATAAAGATCATTTTCCACAATATGAAAGATTTGTCCAATGACCAGTTTATCCTTGGCAGGTCCCATCTGTGTAAGAGGACAACGTCTTAGCATGGATGCGAAGGATTCCACATTTTTTGAAGAGTCCTAAATAAGAGAAAAGGTATATAATTATATACATATAACTCAGCATAGAGGTATAATAAAGTCCTAATGTAGAAATTTTTAAAAATCAAATTTTGTAGCAATAATTTATAAATCTATATGAAATTTTGCTTTAAAAATCCAGTTATGCTCTTTAACTTCCGCTTCCTGCCTTTTCTTCCTGAAGAAGAGCTAAAGAAAAGTAGATTATCTGGAGCTGGTGGGAGATGGCAGGGATGTGGTGGTCTGAAGAGCTCAAGCCAGATAGAGAGAGGAGAGTGTGCATAGAAAGCCTCCCAGAAGGGGGTTGGGCAAGGTTGGGGGGTGACTGGCAGAATCTGAACACATCAGGAAAGCATCCAAGGAAGTAATCAATTTTATTCCTAATTCTGACCATCTGCAAAAAAAAAAAAAAAGGTTTCTAATTAAGGTTTAGTGAGAGTGCCTATATTTTAATACAAATTTAAATATACACTGAAATAAAAATGATTAAAAGCCAGCCCTTCATCACAATTATCAGTCTGAACATGAGTTCCTGCTGTATAATACTTTTAAACAACTTGAATTTGTTATAATTTTCTTCTTTTCCTAAAGTGAAATTCCAAAGGAAAACAGCTTCTTTAATTTTTCTTTGCTGCTTACCTTCTAGGAGTCTTTTTTCATACTGAATTCACTTGAGGCATGGCTGAAGATAAAGTCTGGTTACTTGTCTCCTCTTACAAAAATTTCTTCCAAACACATGCTTTCTCTGAAATCCATGAACCCAGATTTATGCCTTCTCTTCATCTTTAAGTCTGTGTGTGGTAGGGTATGTGTGCACCTTGGTGCAAACTAAGGGAAGTACTAAGTTTCTATATGTGTGAGCCAATCATGGAAGAATATTAACATTTTGATCCTACTACCTACATCCTGTATTTGGAAAACATTTTATATTTGCTATTCAAGGGAGAATTTTTATTAAAAGTTCAATGACATATTTAATTTTAAAATTTCAAAACTATATTTACGACTTAATTTTCATGCATATACTATTCCAAGGACTACAAACTCATATGCCAGGACAAATGGGGCCTGATAAACAGAAGACATGTGCCCAAGTCCAGAACACACAGCCACTACTCAGATCCAGCTGCAGTTGCTGTTCAAGTCCAGTTGTTGTCACGTTTTAATTTTCCAAGAAAAACTGGAAATCTACATGTTAATGTAAAATTTCCAATTTTTAAAGGCTTATATGCAGAAAAAAAAGTTTTCCATCTTAAGAATCTGGCAAAACATATTTGGGTGTTGAATCTGGCCCGTGAATTACAAGTTTATGACCTCTGTCTCAGGAAAAAGAAAAGTCAAGACATTTGGCTGGTGTCTACTCCCTCAGGTGCTGGAGGGAGGGTACGGTAATATACTTACCTAGTGGTCACATTGGGAAAAATCCTTGGCACAGAAGGGTCAATCACACAAGTCAACAGACCTTGGTGCCAACTAGAACTGAAAATGGTAGCCGGGAATGTCTGCCATGAGCCATAATGCTAGTTTTATTATTCCACAAAGCATACACTAAAGGTCCTTAAACAAGTGCCTTGGAAAAAAGAGTTCTTTCTTGCAGAGAGCCTTGGATAAAATATGCCCTACAGACTCCACACAGACAGCTATGACTTGCCCTCTAGAGGTAGTGCAGAATATTACCGAGTAAGCCATCCCTGACAAGAGCAACTCCTAGGATCCTCTGCTTGGGAGCCACAGCAGCTGCCACCAGAGTAGCTGAGCACTGCTCAAGAAAAGATTATCAATGTAGTGGTGTCATTCAGTAGGTAACCAGGTCGGGTCCTGCCTGCTTTTCCCTGTGACTTGCTTTCCCATTACTCCACTTCTGTGTCGGTATCTACCAGCCTTCCTCTTTTCTTCTTTCCCTTTTTTGGTGGGGGGTGGGGTGGGGTAGGGGGGTGAGGTGGCTTTAACTGAAGCCATAGGTTAATTAAAACAGCCTTACATGACAAGAAGGCCCAATAGTAAATCCAGTAGTTAAACATTTATTGGGAATAATTCAGTCATCACTAGAGCCTGTTTTTAAAATAATATAATCTCCTTTATGATTATGAAGAAAGGTTTGGGCTAAGATTAGTATGATAGTATTTCCCCTTTGGTTTTAGAAAATTATTGTGTATTTTCAACTGTTTAAAAAAATTCTCTGGAGAGTTTTAGTTAAGTCTGTTGTGAAATATTTGTTACATTATAAAATTATATATAATTATCTTTCAAAGGCAACTTTAAAATCTAGTGGAAACAGAACACCACTGCTTTCTCTCCCATTACTTTTGCCTTTACTTTGTTACATTTTGCAAGGGTAGTCAATATGTTTTCAATGAATGAAATAATTTAACTAAAAATATAAGACTCCCAAATTAACATGTGTATTTGCTTTTAAATTGTACGCTCATTATTGCACTTGATGCTTAATACTACTTCACTGATTCTTGGAAACTCTATCAACCCAAGTCCTCCTTCAAATACCACAGTCTAGAACCATCTCTGAATTCCCAGGGCATAAGTCAAAATGTACTCATTTACTTGTAAAGTAACTTCTAAAAATAATAAAGGTAGCAACTCCCACAATACATGTTGACTGCAGGGAGCCCTGTTTATCAAGGATCTAAACCAACACTGTTAACTTCTCTCATGCTGATGCACACTGCAGAAATTGTAAGCACACTGTCACTGCTAGATGGTATCCTGGAGTTCAGTGTCTAACTCTCAAAATGCTACAATAAAACTCATTCATAGAGTTGTCATAAGTAAAGCAAGTAACTTGGAGTTGACTGTTTCCCTTATGAGCTGGTCATAGAGCTCAGACTTCCTGTTATTCTGCTATACTGTTTTCACCTTTTGAAACCTGAAAGTTCAACAGGACTGTCTAGGTAGCTGATATATGGTACATTATCACTTTCATTCATTTATTAAATGTAGGTTGAGTGTTATTGACTACTTATCACATACCAGGCTTTGTTCTGGGCCTTGATATGGTAAGTGACTAAGTGAAATGGTAAAGGAATACAGAGTAGACAAACATGACCAGAGAGATTAGGACTTAAAAGGTTACTGCAAACAACTGTCCCCTCATTTAAGGTTGTGAAAAGCCTCCCACCCTAGGCTAAATCAGTTAGACATCTTATAAGCAGTAAGGAATCAAAAACAGTGTCTAATCAATGGAAGCTGGTTTTTGTTTCAAAAACCAAAACATTTTGTTAGCAGTATGTAAAACGGACCAAAGGGAGAAAAAAAATGAAAAATGGGCCAACTGTTGAGAAGCTCCCCAAATTAGCTAGAATAGAGGAAATAATTGGCTTACATTAGCTATATGCATCCCCATGTTCCAAGATACAGTAATACATGTGTCCATCAACGAACAGATGGATACAGAATCTATCTGTCTCTCGCACTCACATACATACCGTGTTTCCCCAAAAATAAGACACTGTCTTATATTTATTTTTTCTCAAGAAGACACACTAGGGCTTATTTTCAGGGGATGTCTTATTTTTATTAAGTATAGTACAACAATCTACATTTATTCAAATACAGTTAAGTCATCTTCTTCTGGAACCTGACAGGGGGAGCCGACCTTGTTGGTGGGGCTGGCGCTAGTGATGCTTGAACTCCTTTCCCCTAGCCGTTTGCACATGCGCAATGGGATGCCTGCTACTGTGGTTACCACATGCGCACACGCAAGTGCCAATGGCTCGGAGAAAGAAGCTGTGGCAGATAAAAGGTATTCCAGTCTTCCTTACTGCTCTGCTCCGAAATGCATGGAGTGGCTATGCAAATATGCTGCATAGCCATGCCCATCACTAGGTCTTATTATCAGGGTAGGGCTTATATTTAACAAATGCATAGAAATCTTGCTAGGGTTTATGCATAGAAATCCTACTAGGGTTTATTTTCTGGGTAGGTCTTATTTTCAGGGAAACATGGTATATAAAAATGACAGAGTATCACTCAGCCTTTAAAAAAAGGAGGTGATCCCGACATCTGCACAACATGGATGGACTTAGAGCAACAATTTCCAACATTTTTGGCTCCAGGGACCGGTTTCATGGAACACAATTTTTCCACAATATGGGTGGGGGGACCGAGGGGAGGCAGAGCTCAGGTTCAGGAGGCGATGCAAGCAATGGGGGAGCAGCTGTAAATACAGATGAAGCTTCACTCACTCACCGCTCACCTCCTGCTGTGCAGCTGGACCTGTACCAGGCACAGCTCTGGCATTGGGGACCACAGACCTAGAGAACATTATGCTAAGGGAAATAAGCCAGACTCAGAATGAAAAATATTGTATGATCTTACTCTATGTAGAATCTTAGGGAAAATAAGATACATAGAGACAGAGAATAAAACAGTGATTAACCAAGGCTGGGTTTGGAAAAAGGAAATGAGGAGTTATAAGTTAAAGAAGACAAAGTACCAAATATGTAGAATGAATGACTCAAAATATCTAATGTATCACCTAAGCACTATAGTTAATAACAGTGTTTTACATTCAGAATTTTTGCTAAATGAATGAATTATAGTTGCTCCTGTGAGGGGGCGGGGGCAATGAGATACTATATAAGATGATGAATATGTTAACCTGTTCCACTATAGTAACTATTTTACTATGTACAGTAAAACCTCTAAAACCCAAGGGACTGTAACAAACTGATCAACATACAAATGTGGTTAACACAGGGAAATAGGCCTAAGGTACTGATATATACATGTGATGCATGTTCAGTCTATGAAAACTGGACAACATCAATTTAATACACACACACATAAGAAAAACTCAATTCAATTCAAAATGGGGGGAAGGGGTTGGAAGGAGTAAAGAGGGGAGGAGGAAGGAGAATGCTGTGCTCCCACTTAACGGGCACAATGTAAGGATATACGGCATACCTTCTGGGTTCAGGACACAACTACAACAGGGATTCTATCTAACAAATGCAAATATTGAAACCTAATTGTTTATTCCCTCA